GCAGGACTTTCTGATCATGAAACTATTATGCTTATTTTCCCCCTCTCACATTTATCAAAAGGGGAAAATACCAAAGGTGAAGCCACAGAGAAGTGGGAAAGATTTTAAAACTAGTGCTAACACTGGCACAGGATCCTTCTCCTCCTTCCACCCTTTCGACCCCCCCGCCCCCAAAATCAAAACCAAAAAACGCAGCCTGGTCTTCTGCTTGTCCAGCCTTTGCCAAACATAAAAGAATGGCAATACAAAGGCAACTGGTGTTTACAGCTCTGGTTCTGGACAACATACACTGGTGGTAATACAGTGGGGGCTTTTACTGGCAGATTTCTGAAGTAGTGTTAGAGAAATTGTTATGACAGCAAAAAATAATGATACACAGATGCCATGATTGTAGAAGGGAGAATAATCTCCTACCTGAAAGTTTTCCTGCTTTATTCGAGACTCCCACACAACACTTTATGTTCCTCTCTAAGAACCAGTTAAAGTACAGGATTGGGAATCAAGAAACCTATGATCTACCCCCAGCTCTGCCACTTGACCCATTCTGTAGTTATGGACACTTTACCGCTCTCTGCCTCAGTTTCCTCATTTGTAAAATGAGAATGATGATACCCTCTGCTGTAAAGATAAAAAGCCCCATGTAAATACTAAGTATTATTATTAAAAATACTAACTCTAGATAGTAGATAATATAGGTAATAACTAAGCCATCCGACAACTTAAACCCCAGTTCAGCAAGGTAAGTAAGCACATGTCTAGGTAAGCACATGAGTAGTCCCATTGACTTCAATGGGACATAAGTCAGGCACTTTGAATCAGTCTATAGCAGGGGAAGGCAACCTGCGGCACGCAAGGTGATTTTCAGTGACACTCACACTGCCCGGATCCTGGCCACTGGTCCTGGGGGCTCTGCATTTTAATTTAATTTTAAATGAAGCTTCTTAAACATTTTAAAAACCTTATTTACTTTACATACAACAATAGTTTAGTTATATATTGTAGACTTATAGAAAGAGACCTTCTAAAACCATTAAAATGTATTACCGACACGTGAAACCTTAAATTAGAGTGAATAAATGAAGACTCGGCACACCACTTCTGAAAGGTTGCCGACCCCTGGTCTATAGTATTTAGCTCAGAAACTGGGGAAAGAGCATAAAGATGGCAATGAAGTGGAACCTCCAGAAACTGTAAAACAGTAAATGGAAAAGTGACTGGAGGTTTTAACTTAGAAAAATCCATTGTATTCAGTATTAAGCCTATTATTAAGTTTTGAGCAGCAGCTGATTTCTCCCCCCGACGGGCTTTCAGGCCTATTAAAACGAAAAGAGTAATTTTGCTGTATGTTTGTTTCAATTTGTTGTCTGTCAACTCAGCCCTCCCAGGGTTCTATATTGGGATCTTTTGTGTTACAAAGATAGCATGAATCACATAGCAACATGTTTCAACTTACTACTGCATTTTACTGACTGACTGCTTGGGGACCTAGGTTATCATAGAAAATGAGTCTTTTTATTAGCCTTCACAGACTCTAAGTTATCTTTGAAATCCTATTATCTTTATTCTGCTTGGATTACCAGATTACCCCAACACTGTAAGTACACTGGTAGACAGGCAGCACAGCTGTGACATGAAAACCACTTTTAATTAAAACCCTATTGTCTGTCTCTGTGTAAAATTTGATTGGGGGGAATGACTGGTGAATAACTGTAATTCATTTACAAATGAATCCAGGAATGTCTTCAGTTGATGAAAATACTTTTAACAATAATATTTATTCTATTTATTATTTTACTTTGTGAGATACAATTGAAATATTTAGTGATAACAATAACAGTTCAAAGCAATGTACATCTGTTTATAAACTTGTATGCTGAGTGCAGTGCAGAATATTAGAGGTAAAGGATATTATTTTTTTCTGGGAGGTGGGGGCAAGAGGTTACTCATACATGCCAACAATGCAGACAGAAAACACAGGATGATAGATAGAAGGGTGATTCTGGTTCTGACTTCCATACATAGGTTTATAGAGGTAGGACTTTCTCAGAATTCCTGCAGAATTTCTAGAGATGTTGCTGAGATCCCCAAGATGATTGATATGAGGGGCCAGGATTCCTTCTGGTATTGCTAATTCAGCACAGTGGGGAAGAGACACAGCAGAGGTTACCTGTAATTTCAAAAGGCTACCTCCTTCCACTCACTATGTGAGTGGAAAGATGTCATAGAAAACTTTTTCTGCACATGCAGCAGGGCAGGATCCCTTTCTAGGACTCAAGAGTACTGGGAGAGGGGGGCCTGTAAATTTGCCATCCTGCATACCATGACCCCAAGTGGACATGGTCTGCCAGTAGGGTGACCAGACAGCAAGTGTGAAAAATCGGGACGGGGTGGAGGGGTAATAGGAGCCTATATAAGATAAAGACCCAAAAATCGGGACTGTGCCTATAAAATCGGGACATCTGGTCACCCTATCTGCCAGCTAGATGAGATGGACGTCCAGTCCTCCAGCCAGCTAACATGTATGCTGTAGTCAACAGCATCTGCTAACCTGGCACGCACCTGGCTCCTGTTTAGAGCAGCAGCAATGTGTGCCCAACAGAAGCTTAGGTTGGCTAGCATGATTCCTGTAAAGAATGATGCATCTGTTGGTGTTTCTTTTTCTGGCTCAAATTTCTACAGTGAAGGATTTGGACTGAAGTGTTTAAAATGGGGTTAATAGGTATATAATATTTGCACTGCTACATAGCCCTCCATATAACATACAATTAATTAATCCTCACAACATCGCTATGTTGTAGGTTTTATACACATTTTACAGATGAATAAATTAAGAGAAACTATGGTTACAACTACACTACTAGTGAGGGGTGTGATTCCCCTGTTTGCACACACACACTTGCACTAGCTCTCAAACCCCTCTGAAACTAGTGGTTACATACGCAACAAGGCTAAGCCATACCTCTGCTGCTGCTTCCCATGCTACACTGTTATTTCTACTTGCACTAGCTCACTAAGAGCTAGTGCGAGTACGTGTACACAAGCAGGGGAATCACACCCCAGGCCTGTAGTGAAGATGTAGCCTAAACGACTTGTCCGAGGTGACACAGCGTCAGCGAGTCAGTGATAGAGTGAGGAATGGAATATAGGAGTCGTGGTTCCCAGTCCCCTGCTCTAGTCACTCTATACAATCCTGCAGTTGTTAAACAGAATCAGACACAAAACTGGAATCAAGTGGGCTACTGCATGATGTCTTTCAAATTTTACTGTTCCTATTTGATGTTTATCTATTTTCAAATGGTAACAAATAGCTCTCGTGATCGTTACCAAACTAATATTGATAAATGTGGTCGGGGTGAAAGTGGGCTGGTATAGTGTACTGGTAAAAAGCCGGTACTGGCCCGTACGCAGCCCATGTTAAAGCGCTGCAGCTGCAGCAGCGCTTTAATGTCATTGCCCCTTTTACCACCGCCCCCCCCCCCCCCCGGGCCTCTGACAGGAGGGGGCAAAAGGGGCAGCTGCCCTGGGGCCGGCGATTTAAAGGGGCCCGGGGATCCCGGCTGCGACCGGAGCCCTGGACCCTTTTAAATCGCTGCCGGAGCCACGGGCGGCGGGAGCCAGGCAGCGCAGATGGGCTGACTGGGGGAGGCTGACCCCCAGACCCACCCCTTCTGCCCGAGGCCTCGCCCCTTCCAGGGGCGAGAGCCGGCCCCCGTACTGGTAAGAATTTAATATTACTTTCACCACTGAACGTGGTTCTTCATCAGTATTGAACTGTATTACTAGCCACATGTGTGCCATTGTTCTGTAAACAGATACATTCATTATCACTAAACTATTCATTAAAATTCAAAACTAGATATAAGATAATGCAACTTATTGGTTAAAATTTGGAAAACAAAAGTTATCTACTTGTTCTCACTTTAGTAAATGTGTCCATTAGAGCTAAAGTCTCAGACTGTCTTGGCTAATACTGGATAAGTGGCTGTATTTCATGATGAGTTTTAGTATACAGAATTACAAAAGGTGTGGGGTTTTGCTTTGCTTTTCATGTTTGTATGAGATAAAGGGATAGCATCACCCTTCAGTTTCCTGTGCTTGAGGCTCAGTCAGCCAAGTAATTACTACTAGGCATATTGCTTACTACCTGGAGTAGTTCCATGGGCAATAGTTAATAAAGCTACTCCTGGTAATAAGTATTACTCTTGATAGTTGGTGCTTGCAGAATCAGGCCCTAATGTTCACATCTCCACAGTAATGTTACTTAAATTTAAAATATAGTTTTATCTTTACCTAATTCATTATGAAAAATGAAATCCCTGCTCATTTTTCCTTTCAGTCAACAATACACATTATCAAAAGTTCTACTTTTACAGTTATATATTTATTATTTATTTATTATTATATATATTATTTTAGCAATAATGGGTAGGCACAAAGAATTACACACCAAACATGTTCAGATCTTAGATTTGATCCTGCAGTGAGATCTGTGTGGACCATAGTGTATTTACATAAAGTTATACATTTTCCTGAATGGTCCTGTCTAGCCCCTAGCAGAAGTACTGAGAAATAGCTTAAGTCTGGAAACATTCAAATGAACAAAGTAAGATTTATCAAGAATATTAAAACAGAAAAGTTCTACATTCTTGGACGATAGACAACTGGACTTTTGGCTAAAATACAATCAGTCAGGGGACTATACCCTGCATTTGGGATTGGACTCAGTAAGTAAAAAAGCTTTTTCCACCACTAACTTCTGGGCTCTTAAAGCTTCTATAAATCCAGTGAATAAGGGTAAAGAAAGTATTACTTGGGCAACACTTACCTACTCAAATTCCCACCAGAGTTCTGCTATTTTCATGAGATTTCTATGTTAGGATAAAGCTTAAAAGTTCTAATTTTCTAACTGGTAACCTATTTAGTTTGAGACTAATTGTGTTGAGCGGATTGAACCATTTGAGACTTTCATGGGAATTTTCCTGAAAAAGAGAGTTTCTTACCTCTACACCATCGTATTGTTTATCAAAGAGCATGCAATATTCTGGGAGACCCAGCCCGGTTAGCCAGTTAGAAATGGATAGATGCTTCATAATCTGTTACTCTCCTCCCCTCACAATGCCTTTGACTCTGCAGAACAAAACAAACAAAAATGTTTAGTTAATGCTAATAATGCTGAGCATCAGTGGAATTCCAACAGAGCACTTAAAATAGCCACTTTAATAGCAAATGAGCTCCTCTGATTAATGTTATCACCATTAATTCCAAAGATATGAAGAATGATCTGGTCATTGTTTTAGAGCTCCTCTTAATTATGTATTAAGGTTGGTTATGTAAAATTAAGATTCAAGGACAGATCCTCAGCTGGTGTAAATTAAAGTGAATGGAACTATGATAATTTGCCATCTGAAGATCTGCCCACACGTCTATATGTAATTTGTTGTTTCATTTGTAACCTTGATGTTACTGGGTATGTCAAAGGCTCTGTGTTTCTTTTAACCTTCTCAGAAGGTGAATATAGACCAGGCCTACAATATAATCATCTAATCAGCAAAAAATGCTCAGTCCTTGTATTTATAGAAGATAATCCTCAATACCTTTGTCCAGTAACCATGCCTTAGTTCCTCCTTCATGTTGAATAAATTGAGTGATAAAATGTATGAGAGGGAGACAAGAGTGAATGGGATTGTAACTTGTGTGTGAATGTGGAGGAAGTGAATGGGACTGTGTGATTTGTAGGGGACAAAGAATGAATATGATCCTGTGGTGTGTGTTTGTCATAGATTCACAGACACTGGTTACTGAGTTACAGAGTATCCCATAACTAGGAGATAGAAGCTACTCCTTTGGCTCCATCAGGACGTTGGCAGCTTTGAATTTGTCAACAAGACCTCCCGGAGCACTTTTTTCACCAATTTCTGTCTTTCTGTTGCTGGGACTCTGTTTTGGTCTCCATCTACAAGATCTGAGAGCCCACTATTGGGCCCACCTACAATTAATTCATGGATTGGTGTATTGATTAATCTCTTAGACTACAGTTGCCGATAAGGGTTGGTCTCCTGAGCAGCAACAGTATCAGGAAGATTACCACCAATATTATTAGAATGAGAGACTTGAGGAGCACACAAGAAACAATTGTAATTTATCACAAGTTCCTTCATTAACAAATCCACTAAGCAGATAAACAATCCCACAACAGCAGATAGAGAGTACGAAGTGTTTAGCCCTATGACAGGCATTACTCACATTTCCTGCTTGGAAACCACGGACTGTCAGTCACTATCTTGCTCATCATCATCACCACCCATAGCTGTCATCTTGGAATCTCCCATGGCACACAGGCCAAGTTATACCTCTGATGAGTTACACTGATGCCTATTCGGGGTAGTGCCTATTCATGAAGCTTTCAACCCCTTTTCCTTAACTATATTTCTACATCCGACCCAGTAGCAGCTTACTGTATGGGCCGACAGGGCCTGTGCCCATGGGCCCTGGCCAATTTGGGGGCCCCGCAGGAGTGCCGGCCCTCTGGCCCCACCCCCTGCTGCTCCTTCTCCCACCACCCTGCCCCTCAGCCCTGCTCCTCTCTTCCCCTTGAGGCCTTGCTCCCAGCCAGGCTGGAAGATGGATGGACAGAGTGTGAGTGAGTATATCTCCCCCACCCTCCCCCATGTGAAGCCGGCCCGAGGCCCCTCTCCCTTCGCCCCCTGCACTGAGCCAGCCCAAGCCACTTGCCCAAGCCGCCTTCTTCCCCATGCAGGACTGGCCCGAGCCCCGCTGCTCACCCTCCCCCCAGCCTCTTTTTGGCAAAACTGGGCATTTGTACTGTCTGCTCTTGCCAATTGGTGATCAGTTGTTAAGAGCAAATGGGACAAAATGCCCAGTTTTGACAAAAAAGTTGGGACATCCGAGTCCAAAACAGGACATATGGTTACCCTAGGCCAGGGGTCCCCAAATTTGTTTGGTTGTCCCCCCAGTTACCTGGTCCATGGGAGCCAGGGCTAGAGCTGGGAATGGGAGTCAGGGGTCGCGGTGGGGCCAGGGTTGAGGTCAGGGACCGGGAGTGGGGCTGTGACCGGGAGTGGGGCCAGGAACAGAGCCATGGCTGGGGCTGGGGCCAGAGCAGGGTTGGGTGGTGCTCCCTTCCCACCCCCCGTGGTGGCTGACCCAGGCCTCCCCATTTGTTCCTCTATGCTCCCCTAGGGGGCACTCTCCACAGTTTGGGGACCACTGTCCTAGGCTGGGTAAAAGCCACCCAGGGAGCCAGAGCAGCTGTGGGGAGCCCATGACCCTCCACCTGCCATGGACAGGGGACCAGGGTGCCCAAGAGCAGCCCCTGGCCTGTGTCCCTGCCCCGCAGGGTACACCGCCCAGAGCAGATGGAGGGTCCAGGCCTCCCCACAGTAGCCCAGGCTCCCTGGGCAGCTCTTACCACAGCCCCTGCTTCCAGCCAGGCCAGTGGAAAGGGCCTTGTGGGAAGGGGAGGAGTGGGGGGCAGGGCAGGGGGGATGTTGGGGGCCCCAAAGTTCTTTGTGCCAAGGGCCCCAATAAATCTTAATCTGCCTCTGACCCCACTAAACTTGGGGTACCCCATTTTTTATAGGCTAACTTGTTAGTTCCCTTTATACTCATTAACATTTATGTCACTCAATCACCATAACAACTAGTGATTAGCACACTGCTGACAGCTTGTGTCTGCAAAAAGCCCCAGAATATTCTAATCAGCTTTAACTGGTACATTGCAATATATATTTCCTAAATATCAGATCATCTATTACTGTTAGGGTTGCCAACTTTCTGACTGGAAAAAACCGAACACCCTTGCCCTGCCTCCTACCCCACCTCTTCCCCCAAGGCCCTGCCCCACCCCTTCTCCAAGGCCCTGCCCCCTGCTCACTCCATCCATCGCTCACTCTCTCCCACCCTCACTCACTTTCACCGGGCTGGGGCAGGAGGTTGGAGTACAGGAGGGGGGGAGGGCTCCGGCTGGGGGTGCGGGCTCTGAGGTAGGGCCAGGGATGAGGGTTTGAGGTGCAGGAGGGGGCTTCAGGCTGTGGGGTGGGACTGAAGGATCCGGAGTGTAGGAAGGGGCTCCGGCCTGGGGCAGGGGTGTGGGAGGGCATGAGGGTGTCGGTTGGAGATGCGGGCTCTGGGGTGAGGCTGGGGATGAAGGGTTTGGGGTGCAGGAGGGGGCTCTGGGCTGGAGCCGAGGGGTTTGGAGTGTGAGAAGGGGCTCAGGGCTGGGGAAGGGGTTTGAGCTCTGGGAGGGGGTGGGGTGCAGGCTCTGAGCGGTGCTTACCTCAAGTGGCACCCAGAAGCAGCCGGCATGTCCCTCTGGCTCCTAGGCGCAGGGACGGCCAGGGGGCTCTGCGTGCTGCCCCCGTTCGCAGGAGCTGCCCCTGCAGCTCCCATTGGCTGCAGTTCCCAGCCAATGGGAGCTGCAGAGCTGGTGCTTGGGGTTGCACCTGCGGGCAGGGGTGGGGCAATGCACAGAGCCCTCCTGGCTGCCCCGGCACCTAGGAGCCAGAGAGACATGCTGGCTGTTTCAGGGAGCCACGTGGAGCTGGTTGCCAGGGCCGGCTCTAGGCACCAGCAAAGCAAGCAGGTGCTTGGGGCGGCAAATTTGCAGGGGCACAAGAATCCAGCATGAGAGCAGAGAACCAACAGGGATCCCTGGGAGCTGTAGTTCCTTGGTTAGCTCCCTGCCTATAGAGCCAGCCCTGGAGCAGGGAAAGAACTACATTTCCCAGCATTCCCTTGGCCGCAATTAACAGGAAAGGGAGGGGGAAGGAGCGTAGAACTGAAACCTCATGCTACAGCTTGCTGTAAATGGTAGGAACAGAGCCAGCTCTAGGTTTTTTGCCGCCCCCCACCTCAGCCCTGGGCTCCCCCCGCACCCCTGTGTTGCCCCAGCCCTGGACTCTTCCCCGCCCACACCCCCTGCTGCCCCAGCTCTGGCCCCCACCTGCACCCCCCTGCTGCCCCACCCCTGGGTTCTCCCCCACCCGCATCTCCTGCCACCCCAGCCCTGGCCCCCACCGCCGCCCCAACCCTGGGCTCTCCCCCCAGCCGCACCCCCTGCCGCCCCAGCCCTGGGCTCTGCCCCACCCCCCACCCGCATCTCCTGCCACCCCAGCCCTGGGCTCTTCCGCCCACCCCCCACCCGCATCTCCTGCCACCCTAGCCCTGGGCTCTTCTCCCCCCCTGCACCCGCACCCCCTGCCGCCCC